GGCAATGTGTGAACTTGCAAAACAAGAATGCAAAACAGCAGCTCTGAGGGAAAACTCAGCAAACTCTGAGACAGCACAATAGAGTAATTCATAAATTTATCAGAGAAATTTAACAAATAAATGGAAATCATTTAAAAAATCAAACAGAAATCTTAGAACTGAGAAATACAACAGCCAATCACACAAAAGCTCTGGACAGTGTCAACAGAAGAACTGATCAAGGAGAAGAAAGAATTAGTGAGCTCAAAGATAGGTTATTTGGAAATATACACAGTCAGAGGAGAAAAAAAGAATAAAAAGGAACAAAGAACACTTATGAGATCTAGAGGATAGCCTCAAAAAAGCAAATCAAAGTCACTAGCTTTCAAGAGGGAGTAGAGAAAAAGCAAGGGCTAGAAGTTTTATTCAAATAAATAATAAAAGAAAGTTTTCTAAATCTAGAGAAAAATATAAATATCCAGGCACAGGAAGGTCAAAGATCACCAAACAGATTCAATACAAATAAGACTACCTCAAGGAATATAATAATCAAACTCTCAAAGGTCAAGGACAAAGGGTGGAACCTAAAAGCAGTAAGAGAAAAGAAGCAAATAATATATAGAAAATCTCTGATTCATCTGGCATCAGACTTGTCAGCAGAAAACCTACAGGCTAGGAGGGAGAGGATGAAATATTCTAAGTGCTGAAGGAAAATACTACCAACTGCGGATACTATACCTAGCAAAGTGATCCTTCAAAAATGAAGAGACGATAAAGACTTTTCCAGACAAACAAAAACTGTGGGATAAATGATGCCAAGTGACAATAAAAAAGAAAAGAAAAAGATGTGGGAATTCATCAACACCAGACCTGTCATACAAGCTAAAGGAAGTTTTTCAATCTGAATGAAAAGGATGCTAATGTTCAACAAGAAAGTATTTGAAGGTAAAACTCTCAGCTAAAAGTAAGTACACAGACAAATTCAGGATACTCTAATACTATAATTGTGGTGTACAAACCATTCACATGTTTAGTATAAAGATTAATGAACAAATCTATCAACAATAACTACAACAATTTTGTAAGAGATAGGCAAAATAAAAAAGATGTAAATAAAGATAACAAAAAGTCAAAATGTGGAGAAAACGGAGATTAAGTGTAGTGTTTCCTTTTTTGTTTGCCAGCTTTTTTTCTTTTCTTTTCAACCAGAGTTACATTGTCATCAGTTTAAAAGACCTTGTTATAGGCCAGGCATGGTGGCTCACGACTGTAATCCCAGCACTTTGGGAGGCGGAGGTGAGAGGACTGCCTGAGTCTATGGTTTGAGAACAGCCTGGACAACTTGGCAAGACCTCATCTCTACAATAAATCAAAAAATTAGCTGGGTATGATGGCACACACCTGTAGTTTCAGCTACTTGGAAGGCTGAGGTGGAAGGATCACCTGAGCCCAGAAGGTAGAGGCTGGGGTGGCCATGAGTGTGTCATTGCACTCCAACTTGGGCAACTGAATGAGAGTCCAACTCAAAAAAAAAAAAACCAAAAAACCTTGTCATAACTTTAAGATTTTTTTGTAAACCTCATGGTGATCACAAAGCCAAAACCTATATAACAGATGCACTAAAAACAAGAAGCAAGAAATTAAAACATACTACCAGAGAAAATTCACTTAATCACAAAATAAGAGAGTAAGAAAAGAAGAAAGGAAAAGCAGAGTTACAAATCACAAAAAAAGAAACAAAATGGCAGTAGTAAGTCCATATTTATTAATAATAATATTGAATGAAATGGACTAAATCCTCCAATTCAAAGACATAGAGTAGCTGAGTGGGTTAAAAAAAAAAAAGACCCCACTATATGCTACCTATAAGAAACACTTCACCTGTAAAGACACACATAGACTGAAAATGAAGAAGTAGAAAAAGATATTCCATGCGAATGGAAACTAAAAGAGCAGGACAGTAATACTAATATTAGATAAAATAAGCTTAAAGTCAAAAACTGTAAAAAGAGACAAGGAAATGATTATATAATGATAAAGGGGCCAATTCAGCAAGAGGATATAACATTCATAAACATACACACACTCAACACCAAAGCACCCAGATAAATAACGCAAATATTAATAGATCTAAAGGGAGAGACAGACTACAACACAATAATAACAGGGGACTTCAACACTCACTCTCAGCAATGGACAAATCATCCAGACAGAAAATCAATAAAGAAATATCAGAGTTAAACTACACTCCAGACCAATGAACCTGACATTTACAGAACACATTATCCAACTGCTGCAGAATATACCCTCTTCTCATCAGACATGGAACATTTCCTAGGATAGATCACATGTTAGTCAAGAAAACAAGTCTTAACAAATTTTTAAAAACTGAAATCATATCAAGGATCTTCTCAGACCAGAATGGAATAAAACTAGAAATCAATAACAAGAGGAACTATGGAAACTGTTAAAATGCATGGGAATTCAACAAACATGCTCCTGAATAATCAATGGGTTAATGAGGAAATTAAGAAAAAAATTTTAAAATTTTGTGAAACAAATGAAAATGGAAACAGAACAAACCAAAACCTACGAAACAGCAAAAAAGCAATACCAAGAAGGAATATTATAGCAATAAATGCATACAAAAAAGTACAAGACTTCAAATAAATAACCTAATGATGCACCTCAAAAAACTAAAAAAGCAATAACAAATCAAACCCAAAAGTAGTGAAAAGAAAGAAATAATAGCCCGGCTTGGTGGCTCAGCCTGTAATCCTGTGCTTTGGGAGGCTGAGGTGAGTGGATTGCCTGAGCCCGCGGGTTCGAGATCCACCTGGGCAACTTGGCAAGACCTCTTCTCTACATCGCCGGGGCCCAGCAGGTCGAGGCTGCAGTGGCTGGAAGCAGCCACTACACTCCAGTCTGGGTGACAGAGTGAGACTCCAACTAAAAAAAAAAAAAAAAAAAAAAAAAAAGAAAGAAATAATAAAGATCACAGCAGAAGTAAATGAAATTGAGACTAAAAAGTAATATAAAATATAAAAGTCACCAAAATGAAAAGTTTGTTTTTTTATCAGATAAAGAAAATCAATAAAACGTTAATAGCTAGAATAAGAAAAATATCTAAATAAATAAAATCAGAAATGAGAAACGGCATATTACAACCTGAACTACAGAAATACAAAGGATTATTACAAAGGATTATTAGAGACTATTATGAATAACTATATGCCAACAAATTAGAAAATCTAGAAGAAATGAATAAATTCTTGGATGAATGCAACCTACTGAGATTAAACCATAAAGAAACAAAAAAATCAGCTGGGCTCGGTGGCTCAGTTTATAATCCCAGCACTTTGGGAGGCCGAAGTGAATGGATTGCCTGAGTCTGTGGGTTTGAGACTAGTTTGGGCAACTTGGCAAGACTTCATCTCTACAATAAATAAAAAATTAGCTAGGCATGGTAGCACGTGCCTGCAGTTCCAGCTACTTGGAAGGCTGAGGTGGAAGGATCGCCGGAGCCCAGCAGGTTGAAGCTGGGGTGGCTGTGAGTGTGTGTGCCACTGCACTCCAATCTGGGTGATGAAGAAAGACTCAAACTAAAAAAAAAAAAAAAATCTGAATAGACTATTAACAAAATAATGAGATTAAAGCAATAAAAAGTCTCCCAAAACTTAGGATCTGGTGGCTTCACTGCTGAATGTTTACTATAATTTTAATGCCAATTATGCTCAAACTATCCCAAAAAAGTAACAAGGAGAAAATACTTACAAACTCATTCCCTGATACCAAAACCAGACAAGCGTACAACTAAAAAAGTAAGCTACAGGCCAATATCCCTGATGAACACAGATGCAAAAATCCTCAACAAAATACTAGCAAGCTGAATTCAACAACATTTTAAATGATCATTCATCATGATCAGGTTACATTAATCCCAGGGATACAAGGATGGTTTAACATATGTCAATCTGGCCAGGTGTGCTAACTCATGCCTGCAATCCAGCACTTTGGGAGGCTACAGTGGGAGGATTGCTTGAACTCAAGAGTTTGATACCAGCATAGGCAACACAGCAAGACTTCATCTCTACAAAAAATTAGTTGAGTGTGTGCTGGTTTGTGCCTGTAGTCCCAGCTACTTCTGAAGCAAGGGAAGAAGGATTGCCTGCGCCCAGAAGGTCAAGGATGTGGTGAGCCGTGATGGTGCCACTGCACTCCAGCCTGGGCAACAGAGTGAGACCCAACACACACACACACACACACACACACACACACACACACACACACACACAGCAAGTCAATAAGCATGATACATCATATCAACAAAATGAATGACAAAAACCATATGCTCATTTCAATAGATGCTAATAAAGCATTTTAAAAAATTCAATATCCTTTCATGGTACGAAATCTCAAAAGGTAAAAAAGGAATATGCTTAAGAATAACAAAGGCCACATGTGACAAATCCACAGCTAACATCACACTGGATGGGGAAAACTGAGTCTTTCTTCTAAGATCTAGATCAAGCCAAGGGTACCCACTTTCCCCATTTTTTGTTCAATATAGTATTGGAAGTCTCCACCAGAACAATTAGGAAAGAGAAAGAAACAAAAGGCGTCCAAATTGCAAAGAAGTCAAGCTGTCCTTGTTTGCAGATAAGATCTCATATTTTAAAGACTTAGTTAAAAAACTATTAGAACTAATAAAGTAATTCAGCAAAAATTGCAGGATATAAAATCAACATACGAAAATCAGGATTCCATACACCAATAGCAAACAACCTGAAAAAGAAATCAAGAAGACAATTCCGTTTACAATACTTACAAATAATATAAGGAATTAGTTTAACCAATATTTTGAATATTTTGTTAATTTAAAACTGGAACCAAAGTGGGACACAGTGCCAACTGGAGGAAAAAAAGGTGAGAAAAAACAGAGAAGTTAGGATGAAATAGTTAAGGAAAAGATATACCCTTGCCCTTCAAGATTCTGAAAGTGGAAAATGAATAGTCCTTACCGTCCATTAAGTCTGTAATAGGCCAGCTGAAGTGCAAGCTGAATAAATGTATCAGGGTGAAGTGTCTTCTTCTTGGTTAGCTTTTTGCCAAAAGATGTAAAAGCATAAGACACAACCTGCAGATCAGATGCCTAACAAAACACATTAAATGGAAATAGTGAAAAATAAACCTATGGAGACTACACCAAAGAGAACAAAATTATCACACGTATTAAAGTAATCATCAGGCATAAAGAATTAGAAGTATAATTTTAAAATGCTTTATGACAACATGCTTGAACAGCTACATTTTTATATATGGCAATTAAAAGAGAAAGAATTACTATTTAAGAAAAAAAGTAAAAAATCTACCTCCTTGAGATACTGGTCTTTGGCTTGGTTGATGTCATGTAATATTTTCTCATCCACAGTGAACATAAGCTCTTCTGGAAATGGTATATCCCGTACTTTCTCTGAACCCTGAAAATGGGGAAGACCTAAAGATACTTTATCTGTAAAAACATCAGTGGGAAAAGAATAAGTATTTGTTCTAGCATACCTTCCACCTTCCTTCATTCTCAAGAATTTTCTCATCCACATAATAGCTGATATTCACCATAACCATTGCATCAAAAGGTGCATGCTAAAATGAAAGTACACAAGATTGTGAATGTTTTGTTAACTTAAAACTAGACTCAATATTTCCACTTTGCCTCCATTCTCAACAGTTAATAAAGGACAGAATCCTCAAATGCCTCACGCCCTAATGATAAAAATGTAGGATGTCCTATAGTATAATAACTGATGTACTTTGTTTTTTGAAAAAATAACAAACGTTTAAAGTTGGAAGCACCTATGTAGGACTCTTGGGGTCACTGCAGGTGTGTAAAATAAATATGAACAATCTAGAGATTAACTGCTATTTTTACTAGAAGGCAGATATATATATAACGCTAAGATGTTCTGGAATTGTAAGAGCAGTATGGAAAAGCAAATGAGAATGGCAGATTAAATGAAGGCATCTGGGACAGGAATGAGTTTCTTTGGGTAAAGACATAGGTCACATATGTATTAGAAAGCATAACTATTTTGTGTATATATCTCTACAAGAGTGTCCAGATATGGCAGAAATAATTATCACTGTTTAAGAAATGTGGGAAGGATAGGGTGGATGTTACAGGTGTGACAGCAATATTTAGAGAAAAGAATTGCAGTAAGTGAATTTTCCCATCATTTATTTTGGAGGACATTTTTGCTCTTATTTTCCCCATGTTCCTTTGATGACAATTACATCAGATGGCTCCTTCTCTGTGTTATTGCTACCACTTTACATCAAATACAATTGTCATCTATCAATTCAATGTGACACTGCAATTCTTGGAGGGAATAAAGAGAAGTCTTGAGATATGGGCCCAATTTCAGAGGTATTAATTAGGTGCCGTAAATATCATCCTAACACTATAGCTCTGCTGCCAGTGGAGCCTATAATAGTTTATTGTTACCAACTAGGTAGCAACCACAAAACCAGGGACCTCATAATAATGGTTTATTGTTACCAACTAGGTAGCAACCACAACACCAGGGACCTCTTAAGGGAGGTCAATATGAAATGCATAAGTAATTCATTTGTTAGCAATGGCACATATAATGAGACTCATAAGTCACTGACAAACCCATTTTCTAACTGCATCTCACAACTGTGTAGTACTCTATAATTTTACAAAGAATTTTCAGATATGATTACATATATTGTTTCAATTAAGTCAACACCCAAACTATATCATTTTCTAACTATTTTACTGGAACCAGTAAGAAATGGCAAGACTGAAGGATGTAAGTTTCTTTGGCTTATAATTCTATTCACCTATTCTGTGATGAAAAGCTAATAATCTACTCTTTTTCAAAGTTAGGAAATCTGAAAAATTGCAATGCTATTCTAATGCTTTATTTGTTCACATATTTTTTACTTTTTATTTTTTTCACTAAATGGAGAAAATACGAGGGGGACACAAAACACCTGGAACTTATTTACAAAAGGTATGTATTTATTCTTACATGTTTAAACTTCAGTCACCTTTAAAGTACTCCCCATTTGATGCAATACACCTATAGAGATGCTTTTTCCACTGATCAAAACAGTTTTTGAACTTGTCCATTTTGATGTCTTTTGTGCTTCTGCCATTTTTTGTTTTGCTTCTTCCACGTTGGCAAAACGTTTCCCTTTGAGGGGAAACAGTGTGGAACAGTAGATGGGGACGGCAGACAGGGATGCCCTGTATTAATGTATGCACATGATACATGTCCATACACTTAGTATAAAAAAAGCATCTCAGTTCAGCTGAGAGGTGTATACTCATGATGGGCCCAAAATTCTTATTGACAGATAGAAAAGATAAAGTTATTTTCATCCTGAATTTGAGTAAAGTGCAGGATGTAGTGCTATTAGTAAAAATCAGTAAAATTAGTAAAAATTTAGCAAAAGGTGGTTGGGGGTTTGGGAACAAGAGAGAGAAAGCAAGATGAGTTCTTGATAATGAGATCAACTTACTCTTATATAACAAAATAACATCCAATTTGAACAATTTAACATACAATAAACCACAACTCTCAAAATAAAAATAATAGGTGAAAACTGCTAACCACTGTGGTGGTGACATTTTGAAGTCTCCATCAGTATACTCATATTCAAGTGGAGATAAAAGAAGCCAAAATAAAAAAATTGTGGGCTTACAGGACAATTGTGGAATAAGCATCAATCCTACTTTAAAAGGGCTATCTTGAAGAAAGTTTTGAGCCCAGCTTTAGAGGAATCTGACCTTGATGAACAGTGGAAGAAATCAAGACATGTGGAATTCTTTGATTAAGAAGTTATTTTAAAATTTTTTTTAATGTTCTACATACTCTGCACTGTTTGTAAAAAAACAAAAATCAAAACTCTGCACTGTTTGTAAAAAAACAAAAATCAAAAAACTGCTAGCCTGGGCAACTTGGTGAGACCTCATCTCTACAATAAATAATAAAAAATTGGCCGGGAGTGGTGGTGCATGTCTGTAGTTCCAGCTACCTAGAAGGCTGAGGTGGAAGGATTACCTGAACCCAGCAGGTTGAGGCTGTGGTGGCTGTGAGCATGCCACTGCACTCCAGCCTGGGCGACAGAGTGAGAGTGAGACTCCAACTCAAAAAAAAAAAAGGGGGGGGGGGAATTGGAAAAGTATAACTGCATGTTACCTGTATAAAAATGGTTAATAAACCCATTTAAATCAGGGAAGAGAGAGGGCATAGAGAAAAAAGTGAGACTAATATTAAGGTCAGTTTCAGAATCAGTACACAGGAAAAGACTGATAAGGGGGAAGAGGCAGAGTCAAAATACATATGAAAAGGTAACCAACTGCAGCAGACAGGTCAAAGAAAAATTGAGGGAAGAAGCCAGGATGCAGTTGACTACCTTACACAAACCAGATTGAAGTAAGTCAAAGAGAATCAAACAAAGAGCTGAAGAAAAGAAAACTGGCAATTAACAAGAAATATTTTGTCAACAGTAGATTCAAAGGAAGAACAAAGAAAACAAATCTTCCAAATGACTCATGGCAACCCTCTTATTTAGCTCTGATGTGCTATTACAATAGACATTTAGTTTTAGCACCTGCTCATTAACCAATCTACATCCTTTTGAAATAACAGATACTTTATTGTTCTTTAGGCAACCACCACACTACTCTGCAGCAGTTTGAATGAGACTGGTTCTACCCACAAGCCAAGATTGGGCTTGTTACTCAGGCAAGCCTAATCAGAACACATAATTCCCTGGAATGGGCACATGATTTACACAGGCCAGTCACAACCAAGGAGCATTATTCCCAGAACTTTTGCTGAACCACTGGAAAAAAAGAAGCTGGCTATTTCCACAGGGGTCACTAAACAATGAAGAGAGCTATAAAGACATGAAACTAGGTACAACAATCATATTGGACAGTCTACCTAAAAATGAAGTCATATAGAGGAAAGTAGTACCAAAAAATGGAAAGAGATTTCTAAGGAAAGTATTTGAAAGCTAGAAGTCAGCCTTACCCAGTATTAGCAGTACCTCTTGCCAACAAATGCCTTATTAACCTAATGCCAGTTTGACTTAGATTTCTATCGCCTAAAGCTGATTAATACAACTACTAAACTGTTTAAAAATTTTTTCTTGGTTCATAGACCTCCGAAATGCCTACCGGAAATTTAAAAGATAGAACTAGTAAAGAACACCATGGGAGGAGAACAGAAGTTATAATTTTTTACGAAGAAGACAAAAAATGGTAGTAATTGCCAGACATTTTAATATCCATAGTCCAAATAATGTTCAAGGATCATGTGTCATTTCAGGAAAATGGCTACCTAGTTACTAAGGACAGAGCCCAAAATGGAGTTTCTCTGGTCACTGACCTTGAGCAGACCCATGTATTTAGGTCAATGTGGCAAACACACCAATAATCACTAACTAGAAGAACAACCAGTTCTCTAGTCCCCGGGTAGGTGAATGTGGAGTGTGTGTGTGTGTGTGTGTGTGTGTGTGTGTGTGTGTGTGTATACACTATATACTATATACACTCTCACAAGATGCTAATATTAACATCTCCCAAGAATTTGTCTTTCACTGACCCAGCCTAGCCTTTCTTAGGTTATCACCTTTGTCCCAAGAATTTGTTTTCAGTTACTGGCCTACCCCTTCTCATCTACGTGATTGGCCACCCATGACCGACCACCTCCATCTATCCAGTCATCAGAGATACAAGAAATAGACCCCATCTCCATGAAGCCAGCTCCTGTAAATGCTTACCTGCCCCCTAAAGAAAAGTGTTAAAAAACCCCAGCTTCAAGTATTCACCACCAAATGTTCCTTAAGCATCTGGCCCCCTCTCCAATCTTGGAGAGTTAGACCCATGCTCTCTCTCTCTCTCTGATCTACTTTCTGAATAAACACTCCTTCACCTTATCTACCTGCAATTCTTTGCAAACCTGCGACAATGACTCAGCTCACCAACCTAACACTAGGTAAATCTTGAAATTTAGGAATATATCTATATACATTTCCCTGTGCCTAAACATATACATAATGCCATATTCATATTTTTTAAAAGAGGTATTCTTAGCAAGCAGATAACTGAGTTTAAGAGCTTATATTACATAAATAACATATGTAAATTCCATTTCGCAGATACAGTAAACACCAAACTGTTAGCCTTACTAAAGAAAACAAATAATTTGTCCTATAGTCTACTTTCACTGAGAATTCATAACTAAACTTTTATTATAGTTCCATAAAACCAAATTAGTATTTACTTATACTATACCACAGCACAACATAAGTATTTGTGGTTTATTGTCATTAAACTAACCTAAAAGATTAAAAGAGAAAAAAATAACTTCAGTAGTATACTTACATCACAACTACAGCCAAAGACTCCATTAGAAAAGGAAATCAGGTTATAGGATTTGTCACCCCAGCGTACTTTTGGCTCTCCAATAAGGAGCACTGAAGTTATCTAAAATAAATTTAATTTTTCCAAATTAAAATGTTTTTAACATTGGCTTGTGAGCATTTGCATCCTTAACATGTATACATCATCTCATCATCCTCTTCAGGTCAACCAAGTTTAATAAAATGATAACATTGTTATATGCAAGAGACAGTCCTGACTTCAGCTGTTTTTCAAAACTTCAAGTTAAGAAAATCTTACCAGAAAGGAAAATGCTGGTACAATATTCATGAATGTTTATAGAACATACAATTGAAAGGACAAGGCTTTTATAATTTGAATAGTATTAGAGACCTTGGTAAGTTAGTGATTTAAGTCTAGTTAGAAAGAAAGTATTTAAGAATTTACATTCCACTAAACCTGTTTTTCAAACTGTAGGTTTTTGCCCAAATCAGTGTGTCATAATCAATATTCTTTATCAAAAAAGAACAGAAATATGAGAATGCATTATAGATAATAAAAGTAATTACTATTTTGTGAAACATCTATTATAAATATATGTGTGTGGTCAAAAAAATTTGAACACTACATGAAAATATGTTCTTTAAATAGTTTGGTAATTCTCAAAAAAAAAGGTTGTTTTCTAGCTACAAGGTTTTTCAATCCTGAATGTTTTTTCCTATTACTTAATATTAATAAATGCATTATAAAATAATTTAGGTATTTTTAAAAGACAGTTTTAATATGATTACTATGTTTTATTATTTCCCAGGAAGCTGAAATGACACCCCTTGAGGGAATAAATAACAAAGGCCATATTTACCCTTAAACCCACTGATGTCAGTGTGTTCAATAAAACCGAATAATACAATGAATTACTTACAGGGGTAATATAATTCTTACGACAGACACTCCCAACAAAGGTGTCAAGATACACTAGTGTGGGTTATGGGTAGGTTCTCATGTCACCTTTGTTAAGAAAAGTTCACTTAACCCAACATTCTGTGCAATTTTTCTGTGTATGCAATCAATGAAAAGGTTGGGAAACACTGATATGTGATATGTGAACAACAGTCATATTTCTTTAAACAAAGTATAAAAGATATCTAAAAGAACCTAAACAATGTGGCAAGAATTTACAAGGAACTGTTAATTTAAGTTTCAATTTGGTACAAGTATACTTCAAAACTAAGAAAAAGTTTTAAGAGCCTGAATATAAAAAAAGAAAAAAAAACTTCTCATATTCAATATATACAAGAATCTTCCAGAAAAATCTGCAAGAAGAAAAAAAGAGAATAGGACAGTTAAGAACCTGAGAATAATCCTCCGGTGTTACATGCGGACTGCCATCCTCTATGGAATATACCAGTAAACTGCTCTGAATTTTTTCTAACAAAGTCAAGTTCTCTGGATCAAGACCAATCAGATATTCTCGTGCCTAAAAGAGTAAGGAGATAATGACTAAATGTTACAATTTAGATAAAATCAAAGGTAAGAAAACCACAAGAGTTTGTTAGATAAAAGATTCATCAAGAAAAGTGTAAACCATAACCTTAGCCCATTGAGTTCTTTCCTCACTGGTTAATGCTGCTATCCCAGGTCCATCAGGTTCACTACCACACTTCTTGCAGATGAATGTCAATTGTCTTATGGAAATTTAAAGAAAGAAGATTCAAAAAGAGCAATGACAGACAGTAACTAGTGTGGCCTTTAAAAGGTTGTAACATTGATCAGTACCTAAGTATTACCCAAAGAAACCAACTGTGACTTCAACAGCAATAGATTTATTACCTACATCACATCTTTTTTAAAAAGTGATTATATGTTCTATTAACACCAAAAATATATTTGAAAAATAATTTAAGCAAATAAATTTTAATTTGGCTCATATAATTTATACTTTGAAAATGTGCATGGATTTCCAGGTTTCAAGTAAATACCCCTTTCATCCTGGCAATCATTCTTACAAATACCATGTATATCTTTTCTAACTAAAAACTATGTGCTGCCAAGCATGGTGGCTCAAGCCTGTAATCCCAGCACTTTGGGAGGCAGAGGTAAGAGGATTGTTTGAGCCCCGGGGTTCAAGAACAGCCTGGGCAACTTGGCGAGACCTCATCTCTACAATAAAGAAAAATTAGCCAGGCGTGGTGGCACACACTGGTAGTTCAAGCTACTTGGAAGGCTGAGGCAGAAGGATCTCCTGAGCCTAGCAGGTTGAGGCCATGGTGGCTGGGAGAGTGCCATTGCACTCGAGCCTGGGCAACAGAGTGAGACTCTGACAAAAACAAAAAACAAAAAAACACCAAAAAACTATGTGCCTATATATTTAACCAAAGGACTTATTATATGCACAATTAAAATTTGTGTTTTACCAAAAAAAAAAAAAAAAAAGTACCATGTAATCAGTTTTAAATGTGTTCACGTGCCATTTTGCTACTTCTAAACTTTATAAAGATTCTCTTGGATGAGGATAAACTATTCCCTCCCCCCACATAGTAATTTATATTCCCACTCTGATGAGTTTCATGTAGGTTTAAACATAAAGCAGGTCAATGACTGCGTTCTCCCACGAAGAAATATATTTTCATCAGTCAAAAATCCAGAGGTTTTGTTTTATCCTACTTCATTATGGCACATGCTAAGGAATTACATAAATTAAAATACTAATGTAGCTTAATAAATAGTCAGAAAAACACCATAGTAGTCATCTCTTATTTGTGGCTTCATTATTCAAAATTGGAAAAACAGACAAACACACAGATATTGATTTGCATAATTTCCTCTATTTGTCAATTATAACAAATTAACAATAACACTGATGAAAAATAATTTCCTTGCAGAAAAATTCTCCCCTTTTATTTGCAAATCAATGGTGTCCTGTGGAGCAGATGAGGGTTTCTTAACCAAACAATATGAAAACTATGGTAAGAGCAAACTTGCCTTGCCTCTCTCCCTGATTACTTGACAAATAAACTGCTTCTTCAGTTTGTGCGCACAGTAACCAGCTCGATTCTGAATTTCTAAACAAAATATAGCTCAGTTTTGCTACATATAGTACTTTTTGCTACCCTACCCTTACCATCTCAAAACACCAGTTTTGACTATGAAACCTTTTCCTGATCCCTGAAGTGACCATTTTCTCTCTTTTTTTTAAATTAAAGATTTAGAGGATACAAGTGCAAGCTTATTTCATGGATATATGTGTAGTGGCAAAGTCAGGGGTTTTAGTGTAACCATTACCCAAACCATTAGGTAATTTCGTAACCTTCACCTTGCTCCACCCTTCCAAGTCATAAGTGTCTATTATTCCACTCTCTACGCCCATGTGCATACATTATTTAGCTTCCACTTATAAGTGAGAACATGCAGTATTTGACTGTCCATTCATTCCTAAGTTATGAAGTGACCGTTTTCATATTCGTTTTATAAGGTTGTCATTCTTAGAGAGAAGTTACAAGGAAATGAGTTAAACCTAAATTATATATATATATATATATATATATATTTTTTTTTTTTTTTTTTTTTGAGTTGGAGTCTCACTCTGTTGCCCAGACTGGAGTGCAGTGGCCACTCCCGGCCACCGCAGCCTCGACCTGCTGGGCTCCGGCAATCCTTCCGCCTCAGCCTTCCAAGTAGCTGGAATTACAAGGCATGCGCTACCACGCCTGGCTGATTTTTTGATTTATTGTAGAGATGAGGGCTTGCCAAGTTGCCCAGGCGAGTCACGAACCCGCAGGCTCAGGCAGTCCACTCACTTCAGCCTCCCAAAGGCGCAGGATTACAAGCTGAGCCACCGAGCCCGGCTCATCATCATCTTTTGCATAGAAATTCCCAGTCCTGGGTGATCTATTTCAAAGTGCTACCTGCTTGCTAGTAGTAGAATCATGTATCAGTGAAACACTCATTTGATTTATTTCTATTTTAACTCATCCAATGATCTATTACTAATTATTTTGCCATCAATATTAATACTCAGTATTGTTTGACATTTTCATAATAATAATAAAACTAAAAAACAAAGAGATTTGTGCTGAGAAATACATACTGTTCACAGCAGATGTTACTTAAGTTCAAAGACATGTGTTGCAGTCACATTGGACCAAGACCCTCATAATAGTTCACAGCTGTAACTGAGTTAACCTCTCAGACTCAGACACACTTGCATGGTGGCTCAGCCTGTAATCCCAGCA